TAAGGTGTACTGTGACCTCAGAAAAGAGGTCAACTTTATCTCTAGACACACAAAAGAGATCCAGTACACTGCTTGAATTGGCAGAGTGGTATGTGTAGGGATATGTGTAATTCTTATCCTTACCTCCCAGAATTTGAAGATTACCCTTAAAAATTAAGGAGACTAGGAGCAGGCCAGCAGCATTACTTTTGCAGTCTCTTGAGAGCCACTGAGGATGGTTATCAAAAAATTCCCCTGGGACTCCCTTCTTCTGGGCAAGCTCATACAGAGAGGGACCCAGCCGAGCATTCAAATCTCCTAGTAATACCACTATGGACTGAGGGTACAATACAGATATATCTTCTAGAATAACTTCCAAGCCCATCCAACATTCAGAGTTATAATACTGGGATGTGATTGGTGGGATATACGCATTTACCAGTATTAACTCAAACTTTTTATATTCATATTTAACAGCTAGAAAATATGAATACTTATCTTCATTATATAGTTTCTCCCCCTGCCATTGCAACTCTTGCTTTATAAGAATGCATAGCCCACCAGAGGGTCTCCCTTTGTTCTTTGTTTTTTGGGCTGGGGAGGCCCATCCCTGAAAACCTGGCAGTTGTACTGGTTCATCCACTTCGGTTAACCAGGTTTCTTGAAGGGCTATTATATCAAATCTAGGGAGAAAGCTCATTAGTCCACTATCGACCATCCCTTTCCAGCCCGCTATGTTCCAGGTCATCATCTGTATGGGCTTCTCAGAGGCAAGGTGGTTTGGCTTGGTTGATTGGCTAGATGGTAAAGATGCCAGATGTCAACTTGACATTGGAGCCAAGTCAATATCATCTATGCATCCCATATAAACACAGTTGTTGTGAGGTTCGGTATTTCTTCCCGTGGGTTGCAGAACTTGTTGTTGCTCCTCTATATCTCGATTGCCAGTGTGCCTCTGCCCTTGCTCCAGGAATATTTTTTTTTCAGAAGGGCAGGTACTCCGGCTTAAATCTATAAATGTAGATTTATGTCCATTTTTGGAGGGGCGTAGCTGAGAATTCATCTTGTAGGGAGATGTTGTGGAAACTTCTAAGTCAAATNAAACCTGGCAGTTGTACTGGTTCATCCACTTCGGTTAACCAGGTTTCTTGAAGGGCTATTATATCAAATCTAGGGAGAAAGCTCATTAGTCCACTATCGACCGTCCCTTTCCAGCCTGCTATGTTCCAGGTCATCATCTGTATGGGCTTCTCGGAGGCAAGGTGGTTTGGCTTGGTTGATTGGCTAGATGGTAAAAATGTCAGATGTCAACTTGACATTGGAGCCAAGTCAATATCATCTATGCATCCCATATAAACACAGTTGTTGTGAGGTTCGGTATTTCTTCTCGTGGGTTGCAGAACTTGTTGTTGTAAAAAAACAAGAAAGCTGTTGCCAAACTGTCCTAATCCAGAAATGATTTTCTTACACAGGTTTAAACATGATATGCATGGGCACACAACAAAAGCCACCTAAAGAGTCACTGGATATGCTCATAATCATTCAGAACTATATTGTGAAAGGACTGATTGCAGCCTATATTAATAATATGTGAAAATTCTTGTTCAGATTACCACACTTTCTTTTTCTGTATATTAAAATAATGAAGAAAACAGTCCTCTTTTGCTTAGATAGATAGCTAGTGAATGGATAAAATGGATTTCTGTATTTAAACAATACAAATAGAATTTTTGCCTAGTTCACCACATGGTGGCAATATTAACAAAGAAATTTAGTTCTCTTCTGCTTCCTCAGTATCAGACAGTAATACAAAATTGAACAAAAGGAATCTGACTCTTTGGCGGTGAAATGTTTGCAGATCATAACATGGCAAAAAATAAGAAGAATTAAAAATGATTTGCACAGCTAAATCATAAAGAAAGGAAGGAAAGAAAGGCTGACTGTTGGGCAGAATTTGAGCCTACAAGGAAGAGACTGGAATCATGGAGAATTGCTTTTGGAAAAGACAAGGTCTGTATGTCCTTCTCTCTTTCTCATTCCTTAGAGTAATGTGTGCTTCAATTCGCTTTTCTGTCCCTGAAGAAAAGAAAAAGGGGTTTCTGGTGAGTAATGTACTCAAAAAATTGAAACTGGAAGCAGGGGAGCTCTCAGCCCGCAAAGCACATTTAGCTGCTGAGGGCACTCAGGAATACTTCCACCTTGATATTCAGACTGGGGATCTGTTGATTAAGGACAACATAGACAGAGAAGCTTTATGTGGCCAGAATGATCCTTGTGTACTTCTATCTCAGCTTGTTTTGGGAAACCCCTTAGATATCTTTAATATTGAAATCAAGATAGAAGATGTGAATGACAATGCCCCCAAATTTTGGAAAAATGAAGTGGTGCTGGACATTCTTGAGACTGTTCCTAAAAGTACAACATTCCCCTTGGAACCTGCCCAAGATGAAGACTTGGGAGACAATAGCATCCAAAATTATACTCTTAATCTCAATGAGCATTTTCAGCTTGAAGTACACAAGAATGAAGATAGAAAAGACAACGTATATCTTGTTTTGAAGAAAACATTAGATAGGGAGAGGATGGCACACCTTGGATTGACTCTAATGGCTATTGATGGAGGAGTTCCAAAGAAAACAGGCACAGTTCAAATTAATATTAATGTGCTGGATAGTAATGATAACTTTCCTCTGTTTAGCAAGTCTGAATATAAGGCAAGAGTAAAGGAGAATCTCCCTCAGGGCACTCTTGTGGTTAAAGTGGAAGCCACAGATCTGGATTTGGGTTCAAATGCACAGATCCTCTACTCATTCCATCAAGTGCCGGAAAGAATAAACAATTTGTTCTATTTAAATGAAAGAACTGGAAAAATCACTGTTTGTGGTCAGATAGATTATGAAAAAGAAAAGAGTTACAGCATGAACATCAGAGCAACAGATGGAGGGGGTCTTTCAGGGCATTGCAACGTAGTGATAGAAATTGAAGATGTGAATGACAACCCCCCAGAAGTGTCCATCATATCTCTGGCCAACACTTTAAAGGAAGACTCTCCCCCAGACACAGTAGTGGCTGTCTTCAGTGTTAGAGATCAAGACTCTGGAGACAACAGCAAAACGGTCTGCTCCGTGGAGATGAATCTCCCTTTTGTGCTCAAAGGCACCACAAACAACTTTTATCAGCTTGTGCTCCAAAGTCCCCTAGACAGAGAGACGGTCACTGAGTACAACATCACCATCACAGCCATTGACTGCGGCTCTCCTAGGCTCACTTCAACAAGACTGATTAATGTTCAGATCTCCGATGTCAATGACAACCCTCCTCTTTTTGAAAAGTCTTCATTTGACATGCAGATCCGGGAGAATCATATTCCAGGTTTGCTCATTGGCTCAGTCCACGCTGTGGATCTGGACACAAAGCAGAATGCAAAAGTGACTTACTCAGTTCTGCCTGGGAAGGGTGATGGCCTTTTGCCAACTTTCATTTCAATCAACTCTGAAACTGGAAACCTGCATGCCCTCCGATCCCTGGACTATGAGCAGATAAGAGGCTTCAGAGTTACTGTGAGGGCCTCTGATGGTGGTTCTCCTTCCCTGAGCTCAGAAGTGATTGTCCGCATCCACATCATAGATGAAAATGACAACGCTCCCTTCTTCCTGTATCCCCTCCAGAACAACACATCCCCATGCAATGAGCTGGTTCCTAAGTCAGCTGAGGCCGGCTATCTGGTCACCAAGGTGGTTGCAGTGGATGCAGATTCTGGCCAAAACTCTTGGCTTTCCTATGAATTGCTGAAGGCCACGGACCCAGCCCTTTTCAGCATAGGAGCGCAGAATGGGGAAGTGAAAACCAGGAGAGCCCTGAATGAGCGAGACACAAACAAGCAGAGGCTGGTGATTCTGGTAAGAGACAACGGTCTTCCTCCCCAGACCAGCACGGCGTTGCTTAATGTCCTTCTTGTGGATGGCTTTTCGGATCCCTTCCTGAGGAGGGTGGATGTCAGTGTGCAAGAACCGGAAGAAGACAAAACCTTGACCAAGTATTTGGTGATCTGCTTGGCTGCTGTCTCCTTTGTGTTCCTGGTCTGTATTGTTGTGTTTGTTGTGGTCAAAATCCTCAAGAAGGACCCCCAAAACCATTTTACTGCAGCTGTTCCTCACTTCCCACCCGCCAGTGCTGATGCCCAAGAGAACTGTGCAGATTCACAGAATGGGTCACTTCCCAGGACTTACCATTATGATGTTTGTTTGACTGGTGGATCTTTAAGTAGCGAGTTCCGATTTCTCAGGCCCCTCTTTCCTGTCTTTTCGGTGGGAGATGTAAACGTCCTAGGCAACCACTGGACTTCTTCTAGCCCTGAAGATTTATCTAAGCAGGTTGCAGTTAATGGCACAACGAAAGAGGTGAGGAAAAATATGCAATTAATCTAGTGACTTTCTATTTATTCCAGCTTTTTTCTTTTTGCTCTTTTGGTTTTTCCTGAGCAACTTTGTGGTTATCTATTGAAGAACCAGGTGAGTTGGCCTTAAGATTTAATTTAGAGTAGAGATCACCATTCCTTCTATAATGTTTGCGTTGTTTTAAAAGTCTCTCTGTCTCTCTCTCCCTCCCTCTCTCTCTCTCTCTCTCTCTCTCTCTCTCTCTCTCTCTCTCTCTCTCTCTCTCACACACACACACACACACACACACACACACATTGCAAGTTTTATGTGAATAATTTATTTATACCTCATGCACTACTCTGAAATTAAATAATTAGTGATTCAAGGTATTTTTGAAAAGAAGACCATGTCCTAATGCACTGTATAAAGCAAGCCATCATTTTTCAGAAATGCACATAAAAGTTACATAAACTCCAAAGGATGACACCAATCCTGACTGGCAGCCAGGGATAATATTGCTGTTTGTCCCAAAGGTGCTTTTTCAAAAGGCAACTGAACTTTCTGTGTTTTTCTCTTGAAGACATTTTATTTCTCATTCAAGAAGCATCTTCAGTTCTGGATGAGAAGCGAAATATCTTCAAGAGAAAAAACACAGAAAGTCCAGTTGCCTTTTGAAAAAGCATCTTTGGGACAACCATGGCCTGGATGAACTGGGAATCTTCATAGACAATACTGCAGCTTCTTATATCAGATCTAGGATGTATATCTGCAAGTACATAGCCAACATATATATATAATCTGAGTCACAGAATTTTAGATACTACAGGATAGAACAAATTATTACAAAAGAAGCAGTAATGGAAGTAATGGGCTGGAGTTTGTTATTACATCACCCCAGAAAAGTAGGTTCTTTTACATTATGGTTATTTTTTATACCTGTCCTGTAGAATTGTTTATGAAAGGACTGAATTTTAGAAAAACACATTATATATGTTCATTATATATTGTCAAGGTAACTTGTCATCTGGGGTTTAAAGATTTTGTTGACATTTTTTAAATTCATGGAAATGTTATAATAATCTGTAAACCTTTTAAGTTATGCTGAATTGAATTTAATACTTTATTTGGCCAAGTGTGATTAGACACACAAGGAATTTGTCTCCAATGCAGAAGCTCTCAGTATATATGCAAAGAACAGACTAATGATAATCATAATAATAATACCAATAAGAGGGGAGTAAGAAAGATAATAAGAAAGATAAATAATAATACTACAGCAATACTACATGGGTAAATTACACTTAGACATTAGAAAACACTGTGAAAATTAGGTGTTCAGCAGAGTGATGGTGTGAGGAAAAAAACTGTCCTTGTATCTAGTTGTTTTGACCTGCAATGCCCTGTAGTGCCATCTGAAGGGAGGAGTTGAAACAATTTATGTCCAGGATGTAAGGGGTCTGCAGGTATCTTCTCAGTCCTTCTTCTGGCCCACGCAATATACAAGTCTTCTATGGAAGGCAGGCTGGTTGCAATTATTTTTTCTGCAGTCTAAACTATCCTTTTGAGTCTGTACCTGTCCTGTTTGGTTGCTGTACCAAACTAGACAGTTACTGAAGTAATTTGTCTGTAAAATTGTATCAGCAGCTCCTGGGACAGTCTGAACTTCTTGAGTTGATGCAGAAAGGACATTCTTTATTGTGCCTTTTTAATGATGGTTTTAATGTTAAGTGTCCATTTCCAGTCCTGGGAGATTACAAAACCCCAAAATTTGAAGGACTCTAGTGCTGATACTGTGCTGTTGAATATGGTAAGAGGTGTTAAAATAAAAGAGCTCCTCCTAAAATCCACTCTCATCTCTACAATTTTAAACATGTTCAGCTCCAGATTGTTACAGCTGCATCTCAGGGCCAGTTGTTCATCCTCCTTTCTATATGCAGATTCATCACCATCTCAAACGAGACCAATGACCATTGTATCATGTGGAAACTTCAGAACTTTAACAGAGGGTTCCCTTGAGATGCAGTCATATAGAGAGAAGAGACCAATGGCGAAAGTACATAGCCCTGAGGTTTAAATATTAATATTAATATTGATATCACATCATAAGGGACATCTGAAACATACTCAAAAATATGTATCATGTGATTAATGATATTATCATCTTCGCCAATCAATCTATGATTGGCTAGATTCACTTTTGTTTTACTAATCCAGAAAGAAAAATAATGGGGGGGGGATGGTTTTTTTTAAATATTTTATTAGTTTTCTGTCATTACAATTCATTTGTGCTTAATAAACAACGGGTCTGGGTTAATTTTTGCTTAGTCATAAAGGTTAAGTTCTTACTCTCAATCTTGTTTTTCCAACCATTGATAAAATAAGTTCCACGTTTGAAAGTATTCTGTGTCTTCTTTTTCTTTGATTCTCAATGTGAGTCTATCCATTTCCTCACAGTCCAATATTTTCTTAATTATCACTTCCTCCGATGGTGTTATCTCATTTTTCCAGTGCTGCGCAAATGCAATTCTCGCTGCTGTTAATACATGTAATGTTAAATATACATTTTGTTTATCAAATTTTTCTGGCATTATGCCTAGTAAAAACAGTTCAGGTTTAAAATCTACATGTTTCCCTAATATCTTTTCTAACCAAGTATATATTTTGGTCCAAATTGTTTTTTGCTTTAACACATGTCCACCATAAATGATAGTATGTACCAGGAATATGACTGATTTCCAACATTTACTAGGCATATTTTTAAACATTTTTGCTAATCTAACAGGTGGAAAATGCCATTTATAAAACATTTTATATAAGTTTTCTTTATACGAAGTAGCCATTGTCAGCTTATAATTTATTTCCCAAAAATTTTGCCATTTTTCTAATTCTATGTTATATCCAAAAAAGTTTGCCCAAATAATCATTGTTTCTTTCACTTGTTCATCTTCCATTTTTAAATTCAATAAAAAGATACAATTTTTTAATCATTTTTCATCAGAAATCAACAACACCTGATCAAATAGTCTGATCTTTATAAAAATCATATGTTTTAACATCTTTGACATACCTCGATTGCAGTTGTAATTGGGGCCATGATAAGTCAATGCCCTGGTCTTCTAGCTCATGTTTAGATTTTAATTTCCCATCTGTATTCAAAATATCCTTATAGGTTAAGATTTTTTCAAATTTAACTAGATTTGGGTGAGCAAAAGCTTCCATCATTGATAGCCATCCTGGGATTTTCATATGAATTTTAGGTTTTATCTTTTCCCATACAGATAGTGATGCATATCTTATATAATGGTTTTGGAAGTATCTATGGATTTTATTCTTTTCATACCATAAAAAAGCATGCCATGCAAGTTGCAGGTCATGTCCTTCTAAATATAACAACCTTTTGTTTTTGAGGCTTATCCATTCTTTTAGCCATGTTAACGCACATGCTTGGTAGTATAGGACCCAATCTGGTAAACCAAATCCTCCATTTTCTTTGGTATCTTGTAACATTTTCAGTTTAATTCTGGCTTTCTTTCCTTGCCAAATAAATTTCAAGATCAATCTATTCAAATCATCAAAAAACTTTTTTTTCTATTTTTACAGATACTGTTTGAAATAAAAAAAGAAGTTTTGGTAAAGTATTCATTTTCACAGTAGCTATTACTCCTAGTAATGATAATTGTAGGTTTTTCCATTTTTCCAAGTCTGTTTTTATTTGACTTAGTAATTTTATGTAGTTATCTTCTTTTATCATTGCACATCTTGCTGTTAAATATATCCCCAAATATTTAACTTTCTTAACTATTTGTAAGTCTATTTTTTCTGACAGTTGTGTTTTTTGCTTACCTGTAAGATTTTTAACTATAACTGGTTTTTTTTCTCTATTTATTTTCAGTCCTGCTATTTCTCCAAATTCTTCTATATTTTTCAGTAATTTGGATTTGTATCCAATGGTACTTCTATCTAGAATACCAAGTCGTCTGTGAATGCTTGTAGTTTATAACTTTCGTCTTTTATCTCCATTCCTTTAATTTCCAAATCTTGTCTGATGTTCCTATTGAGAACTTCCAATGTTAGTATGAATAGCAGTGGGGATAGTGGACATCCTTGTCTTGTACCTTTCTTTATATTAAAGTTCTCCATATAGTCTCCATTGACAATTACTTTTGTTGTTTGTTTATCATATATTGTCTTAATAGTTTTTATAAACTTTTCTCCAAAATTCATACAGTTTAATTGTTGTATCATAATTTGCCAACTTACATTATCAAAAGCTTTTTGGGCGTCTAGGAAAATTAACACCATTTGTTTTCCTGGATAAATTTCATAGTATTCCAGTGTATTTAAAATAATCCTCAAATTATTTTTTATTTGTCTTTTTGGTAGAAATCCATTTTGATCTGGATGGATAAATTCAATCAAGAATCTTTTCAGTCTTTCTGCTATTATTGAGGCAAAGATTTTATAATCCACTTTTAATAATGATATAGGTCTATAATTTTTATATGTAAATCTGAATCTTCTTTTGGTATTAAAATAATATTTGCTTCTATACATGTATTTGGTAATTTGGTCTCTGATAATACCTCATTACACACTTCCTTCATCGGTAAGCTTAATGTATCTTGTAGACATTTGTAGACCTCTGCAGGTAGCCCATCCGGTCCTGGGGTTTTATCATTTTTCTGTTTTTTTATAGTTTGTATCACTTCCATCATTGTAATTTTTTCATTTAGTATATTTTACCAGGTTTACCAGGTTTGTAATCCACAGTGTGCAGTATAATTCAATATGCTCAATGATAAAATATCACATAGAGTCCTGCTTCTGGACATAGTATACTTAGATTTCAGTAAGGCATTTGATAAAGTAGACCACAACCTACTCCTTGGTAAGCTTGAAAAAGATGGAATAGACAACATCACCACCAGATGGATTTGTAGCTGACTGACAAACCATACTCAATGAGTAGTCCTCAATGATACTACATCCACATGGAGAGAAGTAAGCAGTGGGGTACCACAAGGCTCCATCTTAGGCCCAGTACTTTTCAATATCTTCATCAATGACTTAGATGAGGGAATTGAAGGGGAACTCATCAAATTTTCAGATGACACTAAACTGGCAGGAGTATCCAACACCGCAGAAGACAAACTCAGGATCCAAAAAGATCTTAACAAACTTGAACAATGGGCCCTATCCCAAAAAATGAGTTTCAATGTGAGAAAAGCAGTTTTACATTTAGGCAGGAAAAATCAAAGGTACAAATACAAATTAGGCAAGACCTGGCTTAAAAACAGTAACTGTGAGAGGGACATTAGAGTCCTAGTGGACGATCACTTGACTATGAGCCAGCAGTGTGCAGCAGTAGCCAAAAAAGCTAATACGATCCTGAGGCATATAATCAAGATCACGCAAAGTATTAGTACCGCTTTATAAAACCATAGTAAGACCACACCTGGAATACGGCAACCAATTTTGGTCACCATACTACAAAAAAGATATTGAGACCTTGGAAAAAGTTCAGAGAAGAGCAACTAAGATGATCAAAGGCTTGGAGACTAAAACATACAAAGAACGGCTGCAGGACTTGGGTTTGGCTAGTCTAAAGAAAAGAAGAAATAGAGGAGACATGATAGCAGTATTTGAGGGGCTGCCACAAAGAAGAGGAGGTCACGTTATTCTCCAAAGCACCAGAGGGCAGGACAAGAAACAATGGTTGGAAACTGACCAAAGAGAGAAGCAACCTGGAATTAAGGAGAAACTTCCTGACAGTGAGGACAATTAATCAGTGGAACAGCTTGCCTCCAGAAATCGTGGGCGCTCCATCACTGGAGATTTTCAAGAAGAGGCTAGACAGTCACTTGTCTGAGATGGTATAGGTTTTCTTGTTTAAGCAGGGGGCTGGTCTAGAAAACCTCCAAGGTCCCTTCCATATTCTATTCTATTCTATTCTATTCTATTCTATTCTATTCTATTCTATTCTATTCTATTCTATTCTATTCTATATATTTACTGGATATTATCAGATTCCAAGAATGACCAGTACATTTTGTATATGCAACTCATTCCAACGGGATGGTCAGAAAGAGTTGATTTACCTTGTCACCTGAAAGGGTCTTCAATCACTTTTGGAAAACAGAAACAGAAAATGTCAGCCTTTATTTATCTCCCTCCCATTGCAAACTTGACTTCCAGGCACATTTTCCTAGTTCAGTTTGAAAGTAGTCTTCCTTCTAGTGAGTAATCTTGACCATTTAGAGGCTAACCTCAGCAGTTAATGGGCTACTTAGAGAGGAAGAAATGTCTGTTCCCTAGAGAAATGATGAAATAGTAGAACTTCTATTTCTCCTCCTCCTTCTCCTTACATCAACCCCCACTTCCATAGGTACAAACCTGTATCATACAAGAGTAATCTCTAAACTATTTTAGCCCTGACGGTAAAGGAAGGTTTATAAATTGTTATGCTGCAAAAGAATTAACAAGAAAAGAAATTTTGTTTTAATCAAAATTGCCTATATCCAAGTGCTTGCATGCAAACGTTTTTGCTTTAATAAATCAACCCACAATTCTCACTTAAGACCAGCCTTAAATTATCTTCCTTTAGACATATTATACAAAGACTTAGTCAAACACAAGGCCCACGGGCTGAATCTGGCTCACGATTGGCCCATATTTGGCCTGCAGGGCCACCCCGGAGACAGTGAGGGACTGGCCCCTATTGCCCTGGCCCTGGTCCTGCCCAGCCTGGCTGGGTGTCCCTCCCCAGGTGCATGCACAGGAGGCGATGAGCACACCTGGGGGGTGATGGTATTCGGTGGCAACTGCAGCCTGGCTCAGCAGCCCACTGCCATCACTGGACCGGCCCTACTCCCTCCCACCGTCTGTTTTTGCTTGCAGTTGGAGAGCAGGTCACTGCTGATCATCTTCTCCTCAGCCCCCTTGCAGATCTTGCCTTTGGCCCGCATGTGGAATGCATTCCCTTCACGCACCCGATGCACCTCGGCCCCACCACAGGTTGCCGCCGCCACCAAGGCCACCAACGTTTCCCTCATGCACACAGTGCACCTCAGCCCTGCCATGGGCTGCCACTGAGGCCGCCAGCAGCTCACATAGGTCCATTAGGCATGCCCAGTTCCAGCAGGCAAAAGACGGCCACCCCGAGTGGGGAAAGCTGGATCCCCATCGGCGCCATGGCGGCCCAGGCCCAGCCAGGATTGCATGCCTCTCCCCCCCATCTCTGCTGGGCCTGGGTTAGGGTTAGACGAACCTCCCACTCCCTGCCCCACCCACTGGAGACCCCTGGATCTCCCCAACCCCACCTGGCTCCCACCCTGACGCGAGCTACATCAAGTTGGCCTTGCCCACCCCAGCCACACCCACCCAGTCCCCCAAGGGCAACCACAATGCTGATGTGGCCCTCAATGAAATTGAGTTTGACATCCCTGCTCTAGAGAATACTTGGAAAGGTGGAAGGAAAGAATAGATGAGGTTGCACAAAGGAATGTAACAAAGAAAGGAATGTAACAATTTATTTTCTGAGACACTAAGGTAGAAAGGTGAACTTGAGCTAATCTCTCTGTCTGATGCCTAGGAAAGAGGCAATGGCAGCCATTTCTGCAAAATCTAGTCAAAAAAACTGCAGGGACCAGTCTAGGCAGTTGACAGGAACAAAAAAACGGGTATGTCTAGTCCAGGGGTAGGCAACCTTGGCTCTTTTATGACTTGTGGACTTCAATACGAAGAATTCCTGAACCAGCCATGCTGACTCAGGAATTCTGAGAGTTGAAGTCCACAAGTCATAAAAGAGCCAAGGCTGCCTACCCCTGGTCTAGTCTAAGGAAAAGAAGGACTAGGGGTGACATAATAGTAGTCTCCCAACATCTAAGGAGATGCCATAAGGAAAAGGGGTCAACCTCTTCTCCAAAGTACCTGAAGACAGGAGAAGAAATTTTCCTAGAAATAAGAAGTTTCCTGACAATCAATCAGTGCAACAGGTTGCCTTCAGAAATTGTGGGTGCTCCATCACTAAAGGTTTATAAGAAGAGATTACACAGCAGTTTGTCTGGAATGGTAGTGGATCTCCTGGCTAGAAAACCTCCAAGGTCCCTTCCAACTTCTATTCTATTCTATTCTATTCTATTCTATTCTACTCTACTCTACTCTACTCTACTCTACTCTACTCTACTCTACTCTACTCTACTCTACTCTACTCTACTCTACTCTACTCTATTATATTCCCCCCACAAAAAAGTGGGAACATGTAGCAGAACATGAATTATCCATTGGGAGGATATAATTGCCTTTAGTTCAAACTGTGTTGGCAAACTGTCCCAATGCAGAAATGATTTTCTTACACAGGTTTAGACTTGATATGCATGGGCACACAACAGAAGCAAGCTAGAGTCACTGAATATGCCCACAGTCATTCAACACTATACTGTAAAAGGACTGGATAACAACCTGTATCAATAAGGTACAAAACATTTGTACATATTGCCACTCTTTTCTTTTTCTATATAATTGACCAGTGGATAGATAAAAATGGATTCAATACAATACAAATACAGTAAAGGATTTGTCTAGTTCACCACATGGTGGCGATATTAACAAAGAAATTTAATTCTGTTCTGCTTGCTCAGTATCAGGGCAGGTAGTTATACAAAAAGGAACAAAAGGAATCTGACTCTTTGGCGGTGAAATGTTTGCAGATCATAAGATGGCAAAAATCTAAAACAAGAAGAATTAAGAATGATTTGCACAACTAAATCATAAAGAAAGGAAAGAAAGAAAGGCTGACTGTTGGGCAGAATTTGAGCCTACAAGGAAGAGACTGGAATCATGGAGAATTGCTTTTGGAAAAGACAAGGTCTGTATGTCCTTCTCTCTTTCTCATTCCTTAGAGTAATGTGTGCTTCAATTCGCTTTTCTGTCCCTGAAGAAAAGAAAAAGGGGTTTCTGGTGGGTAATGTACTCAAAAAATTGAAACTGGAAGCAGGGGAGCTCTCAGTCCGCAAAGCACATTTAGCTGCTGAGGGCACTCAGGAATACTTCCACCTTGATATTCAGACTGGGGATCTGTTGATTAAGGACAACATAGACAGAGAAGCTTTATGTGGCCAGAATGATCCTTGTGTACTTCTATCTCAGCTTGTTTTGGAAAACCCCTTAGATATCTTTAATACTGAAATCAAGATAGAAGATGTGAATGACAATGCCCCCAAATTTTGGAAAAACGAAGTGGTGCTGGACATTCCTGAAAATATTCCTGAAACTACAACATTCCCCTTGGAATCAGCACAGGATGAGGACCTGGAAGAAAATAGTATCCAAAATTATACTCTGAGTCCCAATGACCATTTCCGGCTTGATGTGCAAAGGAATAAAGATGGAAACCACTATGTAGATCTTGTTCTGGAGAAGTCACTAGATAGGGAGAGGATGGCACACCTTGGATTGACTCTAATGGCTATTGATGGAGGAGTTCCAAAGAAAACCGGCACAGTTCAAATTAATATTAATGTTCTGGATAATAATGATAACTTTCCTCTGTTTAGCAAGTCTGAATATAAGGCAAGAGTAAAGGAGAATCTGCCTCAGGGCACTCTTGTAGTTAAGGTGGAAGCTACAGATCTGGATTTGGGTTCAAATGCACAGATCCTCTACTCATTCCATCGAGTCCTAGAAAGGATAAACACTTTATTTTTTTTAAATGAAATTACTGGTGAAATCAGTGTTTGGGGACAGATTGATTATGAAAAAGAAAAAAGTTACAGCATGAATATCAGAGCAACAGATGGAGGGGGTCTTTCAGGTCATTGCAACATACTGATTGAGATTGAAGATGAGAATGACAACCCTCCAGAAGTGTCCATCATATCTCTGACCAACACTTTAAAGGAAGACTCTCCCCCAGACACAGTAGTGGCCGTCTTCAGTGTTAGAGACCAAGACTCTGGAGACAACAGCAAAACAGGCTGCTCTGTGGAGATGAACCTTCCTTTTGTGCTCAAAGGCACCACAAACAACTTTTATCAGCTTGTGCTCCAAAGTCCCCTAGACAGAGAGACGGTCACTGAGTACAACATCACCATCACAGCCATTGACTGCGGCTCTCCTAGGCTCACTTCAACAAGGTTGATTAATGTTCAGATTTCTGACATCAATGATAACCCTCCTCTTTTTGAAAAGCCTTCATATGACATGCAGATCCGGGAGAATCATATTCCAGGCTTGCTCATTGGCTCAGTCCACGCTGTGGATCTGGACATAAAGCAGAATGCAAAAGTGACTTACTCAGTTCTGCCTGGGAAGGGTGATGGCCTTTTGCCAACTTTCATTTCAATCCACTCTGAAACTGGAAACCTGTATGCCCTCCGATCCCTGGACTATGAGCAGATAAGAGGCTTCAGAGTTACTGTGATGGCCTCTGATGGTGGTTCTCCTTCCCTGAGCTCAGAAGTGATTGTCCGCATCCACATCATAGATGAAAACGACAATGCTCCCTTCTTCCTGTATCCCCTCCAGAACAACACATCCCCATGCAATGAGCTGGTTCCCAAGTCAGCCGAGGCCGGCTATCTGGTCACCAAGGTGGTTGCAGTGGATGCAGATTCTGGCCAAAACTCTTGGCTTTCCTATGAATTGCTGAAGGCCACGGACCCAGCCCTTTTCAGCATAGGAGCGCAGAATGGGGAAGTGAAAACCAGGAGAGCCCTGAATGAGCGAGACACAAACAAGCAGAGGCTGGTGATTCTGGTCAGAGACAACGGTCTTCCTCCCCAGACCAGCACGGCATTGCTTAATGTCCTTCTTGTGGATGGCTTTTCGGATCCCTTCCTGAGGAGGGTGGATGTCAGTGTGCAAGAACCGGAAGAAGACAAAACCTTGACCAAGTATTTGGTGATCTGCTTGGCTGCTGTCTCCTTTGTGTTCCTGGTCTGTATTGTTGTGTTTATTGTGGTCAAATTCCTCAAGAAGGACCCCCAAAGCCAATTTACTGCAGCTGTTCCTCACTTCCCACCTGCCAGTGCTGATGCCCCAGAGAACTGTGCAGATTCACAGAATGGGTCGCTTCCCAGGACTTACCGTTATGATGTTTGTTTGACTGGTGGATCCTTAAGTAGCGAGTTCCGATTTCTCAGGCCCCTCTTTCCTGTCTTTTCGGTGGGAGATGTAAATGTCCCAGGGAAGTCTAGGATTTCTTCAGACATCAAGGATACTTCTGAGCAGATTGTAAATATTGCAGCAAAGAAACAGGTGAGAAAACTGCTTTGTTAATGCTGCCTTTACATTCCTCAATTTTGCTAATTTTTTAAAAATTAAAAATATTTTAGGTGGTGCTCCTTTCTCTTTCACATATTTTTGTTCAATTTATCTTATGTCCAGTATGATACCATCTTCTTTTCTTTCATTTTTTCTCATGTTAACCTACCTATTGTCATTTTTTAAAAATGCAACTATTACCTAAAAGTACAGAGATAGTGGGCTGAGCACAGATTTGCCAAACAACAAATTTATAGCACATTTATGTATGCATAGAATATACAAGTTATATAAACCTATTTCTGGAATCAGTGTGAATTTTCATAGGCTATTGAATAGTATACATTGCTTTAAAAACAAACACTATTTGATGATAGAAAGCTCCTACAAGAAAGTTATACACTCTATATTTGTACAAGATAGCTCTAATTTAAAGAACAAAAAGTAAAAATAAGTTGTGTTTTAACTGATAGTTCTATCATATATTTAGGGTTTTTGTATGATACACAAAGCAGGTATTAAGCCATTTTACTTCTTGTTTTCTAACACTTGTGTTTAATTCAATATATTTGGTTACAAGCGATTATGATAATATTCTTGTGAACTATTTTATAGTAGTACAAATAGTTGTAACTATTATGGCTGTGTATTGTTTATAAGGGCATGTTGATTTAGTGACCAAATTTGAAGCAAAGTGCCAAATCAAAATAGTATTGGCTTTTAAAATACTGGATTAGAGCTTCCATATTGTTTCAGTATTGACCCTAAAAACTCTTTGGGGCATTCTTTTATCTATACCGGTTCTATAATTTAGTTTGCAGTGCTGAGACAGATGGATGGCTTGATTTTTGAACTCAGAGTACTGCTTCAAATTGGACTGACTCATGAGTACTGAAATCATGACTATATTTGTTGAAATGGAGTTGTTCCATGCGGGCCTGATAATTTAAGAAATGTATCAACATGGCCAGTTTTAACACCTTTCAAAAGGGATGGAATTGAAGAATAAGCCTGACCATTTTGATACCTTTGGAAGTCCATCTGGCTCAAACATGTCTAGTCATTTATGTATTTATTATCAATTTGGTGCTGCCTCAATCACTGGAGTTATTCTAGCCAATCAAAAGTTTGTTCTGCCAAAGTACTCACTCCACTTTCAGATGCTGTTATGCTCTCCCTCCCACTTTCTGCTCCTGAATCCACCAAATCTTTGGCCTCTTCCAAACACTCCCCAGTCTTTCTTCCCCAGTGCAGGTTGTCCAACTCGGTTTCACACCCTTACTGTACACAATTGGGCTTGCTCACATTCTAACCCACTCTCTGAATAACTTCTCCTCTCATCCATCATACCTGACTGGTTTTTCTTTCATTAATAAAGCGCCATCTGTGCTTTGCCACCCATTTCCTATAAGATAGGCTGCAGGGAATTTTCCTTCCACTTCCTTGATATTTCACTTACTTGTAATCTTCATACGTTAGTGAAACTTAACATTACAGATTTTTTTTCCCTACAAACCTTTTACACAGAAATCCTTCAAAACATGCTAAATCAGGACATAGTGACCGATCCCAGTGCTGCCCAGTTGCTTCTGAGTGCTCTGACATTTTCCTTAGTCACTTCCTAGAATATGGCTTTGCTTAGTCTTGTACCATCAATTAAACCTCACTTTGTTTCTTCTTCTGGTTGGCTCAAGTTAAATGTGCCAATACATTAATCTTTGGCTTTATTCGTTTTTAGTAGCATAATCAAGCATTTTAACATCTGATAAGATATATGCTTAGAAATTTTCTTCTCTCTCTCTCTCTCTCTCACACACACACACACACACGTGCACCTCAACACATACAGCAACTCATACACGCACACACACGTGGAGAGAGAGAGAGAGAGAGAGAGAGAGAGAGAGAGAGAGAGAGAGAGAGAGAGAGAGAGAACCTACGTATACAGTTTAAACCTGATATTTTCAGACTCATGTGCTAGGCAAGGCATCTTATAATATGTCTTCGTTTTGCAATCTAATATGCTAGAAGTATCTATGCAAATATAATTTAGTATTGAGAAATTACAATGCTTCCTTTTACAATTTTGCAGGGTAAAGTTCCTTTGTCTGAAGATCCTGCTGCTAAATCTGGAGGCCCAAGCTGTACTGTAAATCAAGCAATAGGTGTAAATATGAACTCTGGTCAAAGCGACTGGCTTTCCTATCACTAGATGACAATTACCAACTCCATCCTTCATTCTGTCTCTGTCAGAAGATACATGCAAGAATCATCTAGACTGAAAAGAATGGGTCCTCTGTATAAAAGAACATCAGAGACAAACTTTGAAAACTGTTTAAAACAAGCCAGATTGAAAATAACAAGAATGCCCTTTTGCTGTTCCATTCACTTTGACTGAATTTGTGTGGAGTGATATACAAATGGATTATGTGCATACATTTTACCTAATATGTAACTGATTTGTTATTTCTGCTTTGTAAACTTTTACAATAGGCTACTGTTTTTTTAACCTAGGAGACCCTGCTGCATGTTTATCATTATGATTCTTTGACTTATGATTATGAGATTATGCTCCTTCCATAAAATATTTTAAATAGCTATATTAATTTCTTGGACATTTTATTTATTTAACTAATGGTCAAATAAAATGTACCTACATAAATTTTGGGTAACACAAGTGATTAGATATGCTTAGTTAGAAAAAAAGTGAATGATTTTTCCAATGATGGTGCACTTAGATCCTAGGTGTACCTAAGTCCTCAGTTACATCATTATCTGAGGTTATGCTTGAAATAGTGATTTTCACAATACCCAAACTCTACATGTGCATGTTTACATGCAAAATGGAATTTCAGTAATATACAATTGTTCTTGATTTCCTGCAATCACAATGTACAGTATGTAGATACTGTACATTCATACACACATACATGCATGTATACATACATAATATACTGCAAGGCAACTAATTCTCCTTTGGAAAAAGTGGAATGAACTATGCACAATTTGAAAAGAGTGCCATGCCCTCAGTGGCATTATAGTCAAGAGGACCAAATAAGCTCCCTCAGTCCTTTGCTGTTCTTTTAAGATCTGTTCACTTACAATGATCAGAATTATTCCAAAGGTAACTAAAAGAGATTTAACACCAATATTGACAGTCCTTTCTATAGCAAAAAAGAGTAATTCAACATAAAATCCATAAGAAAGTACTTCTGTTAAGGACTACTTTTAAAAATCCTATCTTTTAATATAATTTTTTGGTTTTGTGCTTACATAGTTAAATGAGATGTCTGTACATTTTGTGTTTTATTAGTAATATTGTGTTCAGACTATCACAAAAATCACAATTGTAAAGAGATTTATATCTGTGGATGAAAAAGTGTAGCAAGTAGTATTATATTGATGTAGCAGATTAGATAGTGAAGGATGCAATGCGGAAACAACTGGAATCAGCAAGAAAATGTGTAAATGCTTTAAAGGATGTGGAGTACAGTACACCCATTTTGCTTTATGCACTGTAATCACTATGTAAAGGGGAAATAAAAATACCATATACATATTGTAAGCCAGATTTTAATATGGTATTTGTATGTTCAAAATTAATAAAATTGGTTTGTAAATTCTTTAAATGGAATTAATATATGAAATCAAACCTTGACATTGAAACTATCATCATCATGGTGTCAGTAGTACATACTCACAGCATGCAAAGGAACAAGATAGCTTTCTTCCACTGTTGCTTTCCACCAACCAGCATTCAGAACATGCTACCAGTGATTCAGTGATTTTTTGATTGTGATCTGAAGCAGGAGCACAGACTGCTATCCATTTCTCTTTATCCTTTTAGGGGTTTTTTTTGGGGGGGGGGTTTCCATTAGTAGAAGAATTGTATTCGTTCTGTCTCAGACTCTTAGATTAGCAAAAGACATACATCTCTTCCAGGCAGAATGTGTTAAGATCCTCCCAAATTCTCTGCTATGGGCAAAGCTGTATTTGGGCCTGCTTCTTGATATTTGGTAGCCCTTGTACCTAAGGTATACAATCAGTGCTTTTTTTCTAAAAAAAAAAAAAAAAAAAAAAGGTGTCGGAACTCACACACGTCATACAACCCGCCTTGCCTACCCTATAAGGTTCCATCCAAAAAAGGTGCCGGAACTCCATTCTGGCGTTCTATGAGAAAAAAAGCCCTATATACAACATACAAAATATAAAGCGCCCCCCCCCCCAAAAAAAAAATCATATGTACACCTTCTAGAGTTAAAACAAAAATCATTTTTTTCAAATTTTGAAATAATGTTACCCTTTGTATTTTTTTTTTCAAGTCAAAAGTCAAAAATTAAAAAAATAGAATCAATGTAATGTGAAAACAAAACCAAAGCATTTTCTTTTCATATGGTCATAATAGATAAATTCAGTTCAGGAATGAGGGATAGACAATTAATTATCTTACTTCCTCTGCAAGATATCAATAGGAATAGGAATAGCATTTAGGCTTCTATACCTCCCCATAGTGCTTTACAGCACTCTCTGGGCGGTTTACAATGTAGAAGCATTATCTGCATATTGCCTCCCCCCAACAATCGGGGTCCTCATTTCACAGATCTCGGAAGGATGGCAGACTGGCTTAACTTTGAGCCCTTCAGGCAAGAACCTTGTGGAAAGGATAAAGGAAAATGACATTGGCCAGAAATCAGTGTAGAAGATGAGCTTTCAGTTAGTATAAAGTGACATTTCTTTGATAGCATAAGAAAAAAGAAACTAAATTGGCAGTATACAGCAACACAGTCTCTACCAGAGGTTTACAGTTACTCAACTTTTCTAGCAAGACAAAGTTCACTGGGATGATGTCAAATACTGTTAACAATTTCCAAAGGTCAGTCAACCAATACTTAGAGGGCTAAAAGCAAACCGCCTGTCCTCCCGAAAAAGTCAAACACTTAAAGGGATCATGGCAAACTTATTGATGTGCATAAATGGATTGGTTTTTTCCTGTGCTTCTGTGTATCTTTGTAAACCAAGAAAATAAGAAGCATATATTTCTTGTGGCCCATGGATAGGAAAAAACTGAGTCAAACTCAGTTCTTGGTGACTACCTGGACTTGACCATGTTGATTTCTTGGCAATAATATGAAAATGGTTTGTCCTTGAGCTGATGAATATGACTGAGTCTTTTGCCCAGGTTAATGAAAATAACATTACTTCTCTCATGGAAGAACACAATTCTATCTAGTGGTAAGATGTCTGCAGCAACCAGCTACTTGGATTACCACAGCACCCATTGTAGATGCAGACTCTGATTGGAATTCTTGGTTTTTCTATAAGTTCTAGGGAAAAATAAACAGAAGTGAAGTTGAAGAATAGCACTTCTGGCATTGCTCGTTAATGTACCCCACCCCTAAGTTCAGGAATAATTCTAAATGCAGCTTCAGTAGATGAAGTCTGATGCTTGTATACACTTTTGTTATATTAAAATGAGACAATATTTTGATCAAACATTTAATTATCTCTTTGATATCCATTTCTTTTTTATATCAATGAATTTAGATAATAGAATTATGCAGGACAAAGAAGACACAGGTAGGTAGAATAATATAGTAAATGAAAAGACTCTAGAACAGGTCCCCAACCCCCAGGCTGTGGCCCACTACCAGTCCATGGCCTATTCGGAACTGGGCTGCATGAGAGGAGGGCCAGTGAAATGAACGCTTATGCACAGTGCCACTCGTGCGAGTGGTGCCCCAAAGGCTTCTCTCATATTAGTGGAACTCTGCGCATGCACGCCAGCCTGCCACCCCTGCAGCCTGGTTCCCCTCTCCCCCTCAGCCTGGCCACCAGGGAAAATGGAAAATTAAGAAGAGTTTTATGAACAGATATGAAACAAAAGTTTGTTAGAGAAATAATTAAAATTATTTTGCCAAGCTATGTCTTTTTAAGTTAGAATTGTTCTCTCTCTCTCTCTCTCTCTCTCTCTCTCCCCTTCACTGGATTTTCATTCATACTTATATCTACACCTTCACTTCTCTGCATTCCTCAACTCCACAAGATCAGGCTGACTTCATTCAAACTTCTTATTTCTTCCCTTTTCTCTTAGTTTCAGATACATAGCATACATATTGATTTTTCATTCATGTCATATACAATTCATGTTCTTTATTATTTACTCAAGTGTCATTTTCAATATGCCATGAGCATCCGCTATAGGGGGATATTGATACCCGCTGTCCATCATGGCTTTCACTTTAGTATATATTTATTTAGTAAACTAAAAAAGGTGCAGATTAGATAACCAGCTGTAACTGTGCCACAAGCAACATTCCCAGTGAGTGTTAAGGGTATCACTGGTCAGTTTTGGCACATTTTGGTCAGTATGCTCTGATCGAACATAATCAAATCCCATTTTTCCCCAAAAATGTGCACATTTATTCATTTAAAAAACTTATCTAGCCACCCATATTGTGAATCACAACTCTGAGCAACTCATAAAACAATAAAAACAAAAAACTACACAACTGACTTTATTTGCTGGCTAACAAATAAAGTTATAAGTAGTAGCCAGCATGGGTTTGTTAAAAACAGATCATGCCAAACCAATCCTATTTTATTCTTTGACAAAGTGACTAAATTAGTAGACCAGCGAAATGCTGTGGACATAGTATACTTGAAATTCAGCAAGGCATTCAACAAAGTAGACCACAACCTACTTCTTGGTAAGCTAGAAAAATGTGGGATAGACAGCATCACCACAAGATGGATTTGTAACTGGTTGACAAACTGTACTCAATGAGTAATCCTTAATGGTACTACATCTACATGGAGGGAAGTAAACAGTGGGGTACCACATGTTTCTGTCTTAGGACCAGTACTTTTCAATATCTTCATGATTTAGACAAGGGAATAGAAGGGGATGTCATCAAATTTGCAGATGACACTAAACTGGCCAGAATAGCCAACACCCCAGAAGACAAGCTCAGAATACACAAAGAACTTAATAGACTTGAACAATGGGCCCTATCCAACAAAATGATATTTAATGTGGAGAAAAGCAAGGTTTTACCCCTGGGGAGGAAAAACCAAAAGTACAAGTACAGATTAGGCGAAACCTGGCTCAAAAACAGTAAATATGAGAGGGACCTTGGAGTCCTAGTGGACAATCACTTAAACATGAGTCAGCAGTGTGCAGCAGCAGCCAAAAAAGCTAATACAATCCTTGGTTGTCTAAACAGAGGCATAGAATCAAAATCACATGAAGTATTAGTACCACTTTATAAAGCTTTAGTAAGGTCCCACCTGGAATACCACATCCAGTTTCGGTCACTATATTACAAAAAAGATGTCGAGACTTTAGAAAAAGTGCAAAGAAGAACAACTAAGATGGTTAAAGGCCTGGAGACTAAAACATATGAAGAATGGTTGCAGGATTTGGGAATGACCAGTCTAGAGAAAAGAAGGACTAGGGGGGATATGATAGCAGTATTCCAGTATTTGAGAGGCTGCTACAAAGATGAGAGGGTCAATTTATTTTCCAAAGCACCAGAAGGCAAGGCAAGAAACAATGGATGGAAACTAATCAAGGAGAGAAACAATCTGGAATTAAGGAGAAACTTCCTAACAGTGAGAACAATCAACCAGTGGAACAGCTTGCCTTCAGACGTTGTGGATGTGTCATCACTGGAGATTTTTAAGAAGAGACTGGACAGTCACTTGTCTGAAATGATATAGTCTCCTGCTTGAGCAGGGGGTGGACTAGAACAGGGCTTTTCAACTTTTTCACTGATTGTACCACTTTTAGGATATGGCAATATTCGAGTACCACCAGTTGCCTAGCAAGATGTCAAAAACTTGATGACCAGAAAAAAAAGAATAAAGTAATAAAGTACAAGTAGCCCTTGAGTTACAATAGTCAGTGACTATTCAAAGTTACAATGGCACTGAAAAAAGTGACTTATGACCATTTTTCACACGACCATTGCAGCATCCCCAGTGTCATGTGATTTACATTCAGATGCTTGACAACTGACTCATATTTATGATGGCTACAGTGTCCCAGGGTCATGTGATCTCCTTTTGCAACCTTCTGACAAGCAAAGTCAATGGGGAAGCCAGATTCAACAGTGTTACTAATTTAATAACTGCAATGATTCACTTAACAAATGTGGCAAGAAAAGTCATAAAATGGGGCAAAACTCATTTAACAAATTTCTCACCCCTTCTCCTTTTATATCCTCTCTTCTCTCCCCCTCCTCCTTTAATATCCCCTCTTCTCTCCCCACTGCTTCTTTTATATCCTCTCCCCCTCCTTCTTTTATATCCTCTCTTTCCCCTGTTGTCTTTTTTTTCTCCCTCTCCCGCCAAAACATGCTCGTTTTATAGCCTCTCCCCTCTCCCCCCTCCTCTTATCCTCTTCTGGGTGCTCCCGAAGTGCCAATCCTGGGGCCTCTGTCTCACCACTGCAGCCCTGCAGAAGCGCACGCTGATCCTGGGGCCTCTCTCTCACCCCTGCAGCTCTGCAGAAGCGTGCCCCAGTCCTGGGGCTTCTGCTGAACCCTGCAGCTCCAGCTGACTTTTTCAGGCTTGTGCAGTGCTGCCGCTGCTTCAGCTCATTCCCCTCCCCTGCTACATTTGTCTAGGTCTAGGACAGTCGTGTACCACCTGCAAGGTGCCAAAGTACCACCGGTGGTATGGATACCACAGATTAAAAA